GGACGAGCAATAAAAATATAAAAGTTTTAATACAAAGTTTTAGTCTCCTGTTATATTAATGGGGCACATTTTTCCACATGAGCTGAAGGCGATGGGTAGACAGTCAGATGTTTTCGGGAGCTTGTTGATTTCTTTTGTTCTCAGGAACATGAACGGTTTTATACCTGTGAGCAGAAAGGACTGCAGGGACGAACCAAAGACGATCTTCATGTACTTGCTGGCTGAACAGCTGTCTCTTCAAATGAAAAGGTTTTGTCTAGTCGTCCTCTTGTTCCATCGCTGTAATTTCCCTGCTCCTAACAGAGCTCGGCCTGTTTGAGATATTGTTTTGTCGCTCTCCAGAGACAGGGTGGTTGTTTTTCTACCCTAATGGCACATTTTTAAAATATCGAAACGGTTTCATTGTGTTGCTGGAGAGCCGCCTCTCCCTCTCACAGCTCCTGAGACCTTCACAAATTGGGCGAAACAACAACAGCAACAAAAGGAGACTCGGAGGCTCTGGCCTTCGCCTCTGATTTTTCAGGCTGTCTCCAGACATTTCGCCTTCCGTAAGCAATTCCCAGCCCAGCGCCATGTCTGGAGCCAATTAGGGGAGATGACACGCGGTGGAGGACCAGGCCTGGTCTGGCTGGCACGCTATTGATCCACATTTCGATCCAAATCACACGCTTTTTATTTTTTAATTAGCAGACAGAATCAGCATTACTGCTCTTTGCTTCGGGTCCTGGAGGCCCACATCACTGTGTGAGAGCTTTTTCTGCTCTAACACACCTGATTCAACTCATCAGTTAATCACAAAGCCCTTCACAAGCTGGAACTCTCACCTGAATCACGTGTCTTCTTCATCTAAACATACCAATGAGTGTTCACATGCGCTCAATAATCCGATCATAATCAGATTTCTGCAGTTATCTGACTATTCAAATGGTCGTGTAAACGGCACACTCTGATTTCTTAGATTGGAATAAGGTCTAGAAATCAGAGAAGAAATCTGATGAAGAGGCTGGGTTTCAGCTCAGTAATCAGATTTCTCAGTGCATAAGAACTCTTACTCTGATTTCTTTCGCATTTCTCAGTGTGAGCATGTGTAAAAACAGACTGTGGTACCGGAAATAAGCGAGCAGCGTTTAACACAGCACCACGAGACGCAGCAAAACACTTTTGGAGCAACACTGAAACCGACTTGATGCTTGACGAAATGACAGATTTAAATATTCTTCATCTTCAGTTTAACGTTACGTTTACGTCACATCTTATTCTGTGAGTTTATTGGCCGGTTGTAAAGCAGAAATACGATTACTGTCTGACACATGTAGACCCAAAGTTTTCCCATCATCTGACTACTCATGTGTAGGTAAACGCATTGATCAGATTACAGACAAAATCATATTTTCTGCATTTATTAGATTATTAAGCGCATTTAAACTCACTCAGTATTAAGATCGGATAAGATCTGAGCACCTGCATCGTCAGGAGATGTCACAAACTGCTTCAGGTAAGTGCATCTCAAGTCTCAAGTCATAGAGAATTTTAGTTTAGTCTCGTTATTATCTGCAGGCACTGCACTGTACAAAAGTAACACCTGTCTAAAACCTGTCAGGTTCCACAAAGCTTCAAATAACAAGTCTTTCTTTGTAGAAAACACTTCAGTGTATAAGGACAGAACTGAAGCGCTACAAGCTGATAATTGAATCTCTTTTTTTTCTCAGGCTAGGTCATAAGTCTTGAGTCTGAGTCGAATCATAAGTCAGAAAAGGGCAAGTCACGAGTCAGTCAGCTAGTGCTGAAACAATTATTTAACATTACCAATAATACCAACACTAAAAATCGACAACAATATTTCTGTTGTTGATTGTTTGTGCACATCAGTGACAATGTGACGTCAATTCTGGTGTCAATTCTGAAGCAGAACGGTCAGTAAAAGGACGAAGCCAAAATGGGTGCAACTGCTGCACCATTTAAGGTGGAATGGAAAGTTGAATGGGAAACTGCCAACTTCAGCCTCAGAACAGACAGTAGCTTCTTCTCCATGCCAGTGTGATTTGTCAGAATGAGCCGTATCAGGTTCTGTTAGACGTATTTTTACTTCAAAAACCTACCCAGCATGCCGGATGGAAACGCTTACTATTGATTTGTTTGATTAGAGCAACAATAAAAGCCACTGAAATGTGAAGGACGGTTCCATTCACTCTTCACAGGTTCCAAACAATCAGCAGGACACAAAGGAGTCGTAAAATATAAATGAAGAAAAGTTAATGTATCAAAAATGATGAACGGATCTGTGTTAGATTACAAAATGACTGAGAAAAGTCATTTAATACCTAAATGACTAAATGAAAATTAATATCTAGAGTTCCAAAAGTGTTGATCACATCTTAAAGCAGATAACTTGACAAACAATTCTGTGAACAGATAATAACAGTATTTTCTTTATCATTTACTCACTTCTTGTTCTCAGAATTCTTTAATCAAGCAAAACACCTAAAAATATCTTTTGGACCTGTTGTAAAATTTAAATTCACACTATATCAGTTATTCCTTTATATAGCATATAAACTGCCTATTATTAAGCTTCAAGCTGTAGCCTGCTAGGCTAAGCTAACACAAGCCAAAGTAAGTACAGTCATGAACTCCACTGTGCTGCGTGAGAACGCTTTTATTCAACACAAGGGTGCGGTACAAGGCAACCAGGCAGTGTAAGTACACTCTAAATTAGAGTTTATGCCACAGGGTTACACGTTAAGCTGTAAGCCTCTAGAACCATTAGTGCCGACCGCTGGCAAACAGTGGGAGCCAAACTCGAGAAAGACTTGATGAAACCTTCTACAACTGTCTTTAAGGACAAAAACAAAGGCAGTTTGTTTGTGTTAAATAATCATTTTAGGTGCAGAAAAGGGTCATAAAAATAAGGTGAAGATAAGCAAACTGAGGCACGGGACACGAGACGAACCTTCCACAGCTCTCATTCATCAAACACTATCTCACTGACATTCACTTCTCACCTCTCCGGAGAAATAAATTAGATAATAACGTTCATCACGTCACCTTTTTGTGGCTCCTTAACGTTCATCAAGCCCTCAGCGCTTAGATCCGAGTTTTTCATTTTCACCCCATCATCGCCCGATGATGTCTTAACGTCGACGTCTGGGATTTTAAACGAGGGCTGTTTCTATTATCTCTGAACCTCGGAGTTATTACAGTAAGTAATCTAAAACAAATGATGTAATGGCTCCTGCTGACTAATTACAGCTTCGGCAGATGAGGATGATGAAACGCGATGCGTGTCGCAAATTGGAAAAAACGCCTAACGACTTTGATCCAGGATGTGAAGGGATAATTGAAAAGCTGGCCATCTTTGGTGGCCGACTATAAAACATAGGAGCAAAAATTACGCGCAACAAGATGCAAATGGCACCTCTGATGTCCTGCCAATTTTATAAACGGCTCAGGCTATTAGGCTGTGATAATCTACGTTCAATGGGACTGGACCATTACCATAATCCACATTAAAGAGCCATTATGGAGTGCAGGGACACGCCGGCTCTTCCCGAAAAGCCAACACACCATCTCCGGCCTGCATTCACCACTTTGCCTCGTGCTACTGGGGAGGAACGTAAAACTGAGTGCACATTCAGAGATCCATGTAGAGCACACAGTGTGCTTAGGACTTTAAGACCTACACTGAGTCCTTCTGCCTGTTTTCAACTTTGTGTTTTACTTGACCATGTCACTTCTGACCAATCACCTCATGAGATACAACACTCCTATACACTATACTACGAGATATTAGTCCATAAACAACCCAAGTAAATGCTCCTGTACACTGTAATAGGAGACACTGGTCCATAAACAACCTCAATAAATGCTCCTATAGCCTAGAATAGGAGATATTAGTACATAAACAACTTCAATAAACACTCCTATACCCTAGAATAGGAGATAGCAGTCCATAAAAAAACTTAATAAACACTCATATACCCTAGAATAGGAGATATTAGTACATAAACACCCTAAATAATCACTCCTGTATACTAGGAGATATTAGTACATAAACAACTTCAATAAACACTCCTATACCCTAGAATAGGAGATATTAGTCCATAAACAACCTCAATAAACACTCCTATACCCTAGAATAGGAGATATTAGTTCATAAACAACCTCAATAAACACTCCTATACCCTAGAATAGGAGATATTAGTCCATAAAAACGCAATAAATGCTCCTATACACCAGAATAGGAGGTATTCATCCATAAACTACCTCAGTAAATGCTCTTGTACACTAGAATAGGAAATATTAGTCCATAAAAAACTCAATAAATGCTCCTATACACTAGAATATCCATAAACTTCCTCAGTAAACACTTTCATATACTAAAATAGGAGATATTAGTCCATGAACAATCTCAACAAACACTCCTATACACTAGAATAGGAGATAGTAGTCGATAAACAACTTCAATAAACACTCTATACACTAGAACAGGAGATATTAGTCCATGAACAATCTCAACAAACACTCCTATACACTAGAATAGGAGATAGTAGTCGATAAACAACTTCAATAAACACTCTATACACTAGAACAGGAGGTATTAGTCCATATACAACCTCAGTAAACACTCCTATACACTACAACAGGAGGTATTAGTCCATATACAACCTCAGTAAACACTCCTATACACTACAGCAGGAGGTATTAGTCTATAAACAGCCTAAATAAAACCTTGAATAGGAGATATCAAGGGACAGGCATTTTGAAACCATTTTGCCATTCAAATATCCACTTGTTAAAACAACTGGTATTCCAACATCCCATTTGATCGCTGATTTAGTGATTTATCTTGGCGTTTAGGAGTGTGTGATTTAGAACGCTGCCAGCTGACTTATTTAAAAAAATACATATTTTTCTGTCAAAAAATATTAAACATTGCATTCTGTATTAATTTATTCATAACACAAAATATGATCACCACTGTGATCAGCACTGGAACTTACGTGGGGTCAGCAGGATAACAGAGGTGATGATCAGAGAGCAGATGACCAGAATGACCAGCAGAGCGATGGCAATTCCCTTCCAGTTCCTCTGCGGAGGAGCGCTACCCACCAGCTCCTGTCAAACACACAAACATAACACACAACTTTAATACCTGTTTTACTACTTCGTGTTTGGTTTGTTGTATTAAAGCCGCCAAGTTCTGCTGTTACTGCAAGCGTCTTGTCTATTCTGCCACGTTACACATGCATTTCTGCGTTTCTGTCTGAAATTCATTTGTACGTCTCAATCCCACAATTCCACTTCGGTTTACCACATCAGAGAAACCACAAGTGTGGAATCAGCCCTCCTTCTTAACTCTCAATTTTCTAGGAAATCATAGCCCAAAAAATCCATAAAAAAATGGAATTCAATGAGGATTCATGCCACTGGTTAAATGCTTTGAATTCCATTTGGTTCTTATAAAAACAATACATTTAGCCATCTTTCGAAAAGATTAATTCTATTTAATACACATTTTGATATTTAAGAAACTTAAGCTGGCAAAGTACACATCTTAGCTAAAGCCAGTGCCACTCACGGTTATACAAGTGGGCTAAACCTCAGAGTGGAATCTGACTGGAAGCAATGAGAGCCATCAGACCAATCAAATTCCACTCAATTCCAAAGTTAAAAATTCCCATCACTTGTCCTGGTGGAACTCAAATCCGGTACCGAACTCTCGTCAGACCCTAACTACAATTTCCATAAACTTCCAAACGTCATGCAGGAGCTGCAGTCATGAATTACAAAGTTCAAGATGTGACGGTCGACAGCTCATTAAAATCTCAGGGACATCCAGATGAGGCTTTTTCGTCACAGCTGTGCCTTCAGAGGCACATGGAAGTGGCTCCAATATGGTCAAGCAGGTCCTTCAACGTTTTGCACCAGCATATTAATCAAGTAAACAATCAATAACCCTAGATGACTCAACAAACAACAAACAGTGGGACACCTGCAAATTTAGATCAAGCTATGAGTAAGAAAACAAGGTTGTGACAGAATAATGTGACATCAGTTCATGACTGGAATGGAAAAGCAATTACTGAGGTTCTTCATTTGGTGAGGCAGTTTGGTCCAGAGAACATTTGTTTATTAATACATAAAAAACTTTATTTAACAATCAATAAATATGATATTTGATTACTGCCTCACTTATCGTGGTCACACTGACCGCAAGTAAAATCTGCCTGGTGAAAAAGCCAGTTCACCTGAAAAGGATGCAAGAAGGCGAACGATCAATTTGCTGCAATTATCGAGTTTATCGGTAAACTTCAACCTCGCAAATTTGCAAACCTCAGCAGCATCAGCCAATAGAAAACGAGAGGGCCGGCTGGGTACCGTTTCTCTGAAACTGCTCTTCAGTGAACATAATGTCACTCGCCATGCATAACTGCAAAAAAAAACAAACTAGTGAACTAGATTACATTAACCGTTTACTGAACTACACGTTCCCTTCAGAACCACCTTCAGTACCTGTATTAGCCTGACTTTTGCTTCTCCCCATGTAGAAAACATTGAGGCAGCAGCCTGGAGTGCCCACAGCTTCAAGCCAATGAAATCAGACTTAACAGGAACGGTCCAGCTCTAAAAGTACCCATAACTACACCCTCAAACATTAATTACACTCTTAAAAAACATGGTTCTTCACAGGCCCTTTAGTAAAGTGGTTCTATATAGAACCAAGAACACTCAAAAAACCCTTTGCATGATTAAAGGGTTTATATCATGTTTATATCAAGCTTTATATAATGAATGCGTTCTTCAGATTAATGGACAGCATGCTGTAGATGGTTCTATATAGAACCTTCTTGAAAAGGGTTCAGTCACCAGTGTTCTCTTATCTGGGATTTGTTCTTAGGTAAGAACAGAATCTACACACACTCAAGAGCACAAAGGTGTGAACAGTTCTGCGCTTTGAGAACACGTCATGAATCTGACGTAGACCTTTTCTTAGGACCTTTATCAAGAACACACTTAAGAACAAACTTAGGAGGGTATTGGAGAATGAGGCCCACTGTTCTTGCAGCACATTCTTAAGAACCCTTTCATGGTGCAAAGAACCGTTTAATCATGCAAAGGGTTCTTTGAGCATTCATATAGGACCGTTTTCATTCCTAAAGGACCTTTGAAGAACCATCTTTTTTAGAAGTGTAGGTCTATAAGTAAAAGAAAGTACATATTTGTCCACAAATGGAGCAGATCAGTAGGGTACGCACCGATGAGTGAACCTAATATTTGGAAGAAAATGATGTATCAAGAAAAAGACATATACATAAGCATAATATATAAGCATATAAGCATATCCCAATAACAGTACTTTGGTTATGCCACAATTCCCCAAATGTAGTCAAATGCAGCCATATATATAAAAAAAAAAAATATATATATATATATATATATATATATATATATATATATATATATATATTATATTTACATTAGAGCTGGGCGATATGGCCAAAAACGTTATCGCGATAAATAAAATTCATATCGTTTGATATCGATACATATCGCGATAAATGTCAAATCATGATTTCTTTCACGTTTGAAGGCTGATTTTGCTGCTGGGTGGTTAACTGTGGTTTTAAACTATCACTTATCATGACAAACACTCGGCAAACAGTGGAACATTTCACTAATCTGTCTTGGGACAGTGGGAGAAAGTTTCTGAGCTGTTTTTATCAGCTTGAAAAGCACAGCTGCACTTTTTGTAATAGTTATGATTTAAGAAAGAAAACAGATTATTTTAGCTGTCTGGTGACGAGCGCTCGGCTACCCCGCTACAAATGCTAAACAAGTGGCCAACAACAGAGCTAAACTCTTTAGTTTCTCAACAACGTCAACTCGGTTCGGTAGGTCACTGCGGTCACTCCTACCACATCCATGTCAGAGCAGATCACAGTATTCAGACACCAGCTAGACGGCTGGGTTTCTCTATGCTATCGTAGTAGTTTGAAGGGTGAACCGCAGTATATCTGACGCTCGCTGTGTAAAAGCATTATCTGCAGTGTGAATCTCTCACTCCAGTCACAGAGTCCTCCTTTTAGGTATGTTTAAACTGAAAGCGGTGATTTTGTGTCTTGTTTGATCTACAGTATCATCAATTCACCGTGTTTTGCCGGAGCGCTGCTTCAAGTTAGCTAAAAACAGCTAGCCTGGAAAGCTAGCGCTCTCCCGCTCTCCAACGCCTCACAGCTTCCTCAGTTTACTTTCGAACATGAACCACTTCTTTCTTTCACTTTCGTTGCTCGAGAATGCACTAATACTAAAATATGGCGGTTTGGCGCTGTAACACGGCGCTGTAGACGTGATTTAACACCGCTAAAGCTGTTAGGATGCACGGAAAGAGGTGAGTTCACCGTAGGACAGCACAGTTACGTCACTTATCTCGTTACTCGGTCACAGGAGAACAGATCGCCGGTCGCTCCACTCAAACAGGGACTGTATAACTCCGTGTTTCAACCGTTGCTAAAGTATATTTGGTGACCGTTTTTTTACTCGTGGCCTCCTCCCTCTCTAATCAAGTCGAAAAATTCGGAAGTGCGCCCTCTCCTGGCGACAGCAGAGTAGTGTTGCTTTCCTTGCAGTAGAAAACGCCACCAGGGCTTTCGCTAAAACGTGGAAGTGTGAGAATGGTGTATTATATCGAACATTTATCGAACCTGTCTTATCGCTCTATCGAGGAAAAGTTATATCGCGATACTTATCGTTATCGTTTTATCGCCCAGCCCTAACTTATATATATATATATATATATATATATATATATATATATATACAGTGTATAGATATATACTATATAGATATACAGTCACTGTCACAGAAGCAAGTCTATCAGAAATTACTGATAGACTTGATAATTACTGTACATAAGCATCCTTTACTTTTCAGCTACAGCCTCGTATCTCCAGTGTACGACTAAAGAAGCAAACCTCAGACACCAAAGCCTATCTTGGGTTTGGTGTCTGAAAAGTGTGTAAATTTGATTTTTCCCCCTAATTATTACTTTGAAGGGCACTGAAACAGAGCAGAGCTCCATTCTGCTTCTCTCACGCTAATTTACGATGCTGCTTTACGTCAGTGTGCAGGTAGATCATCAGAAGCATTGTATTCTGCTCTTTTGTAAATGCAGTATGAGACATTTCGCTGACAGATCATAAAGCCCTTGAAAAAGGGGAAATTATATGAGAGGCCCTTGCCTAGTATGTAGTATGATATCCTTTAGACACATATCGTCCTTCAGAGTCTTTAGAGCGATAAGAGCGGAAGGTTAGAGCCTCCACTTCACTCCATAATAACAATGTGCAACAGCTCTATCCATACAACAATGCCCTAATATCACACATTCTCAGTGTTTTTAAGAAGGTCAAAATATAGCAATCCCTGAAAGAATCAGTTACAGCTGAAATTTGCAGATTCTTCTTTTTTCTGCATAATCAAATAGTTAGGATGTAAACAAAGACGTTCAGAGTGGTTTGGTGTGAAATTCTTTGTTGTAGAGAAAGAATTCAGAGCAGTCAGACGTCTGAAAAGTTGAATGCCTCTAAAAGCTCCTTCACAGAAAGTTGTTACATGAAGTGGTTATGAATTCACTGCCTGATGCCTGCGACTTTGTTTTATTATGGTTTTGAGAAGATTTTGGCCTAGGATAGGTTAATGCAGGGTGATTTCCTACTATTTTACACTCATATAACCACCCCCCCCACCCAGCCTTCATACTCACTCATATAACCACTCCCCCTCACCCAGCCTTCATACTTTCACTCATATAACCACTCCCCCTCACCCAGCCTTCATACTTTCACTCATATAACCACTCCCCCTCACCCAGCCTTCATACTTTCACTCATATAACCACTCCCCCTCACCCAGCCTTCATACTTTCACTCATATAACCACTCCCCCCCACCCAGCCTTCATACTTTCACTCATATAACCACTCCCCCTCACCCAGCCTTCATACTTTCACTCATATAACCACTCCCCCTCACCCAGCCTTCATACTTTCACTCATATAACCACTCCCCCTCACCCAGCCTTCATACTTTCACTCATATAACCACTCCCCCCCACCC